GCGAGCCCCGCCCAGCGCTGCCAAGTTCATTGACCAAGCTAGGGGCCGGTCTGTATCTCCGAGTGCCACCCCCGGGACAAAGGCTCCTCAGCGAAAGCAGTCAGAAAAGCGTCCAGACACCCGTTCTGCCCCTCGACCTCCCGCCACAGTCTGGCCACCCAGGCTGCGCTCCGGCCCCTCAGAGGCATCTAGGGATAGAAAGCAGGGCTCAGGCTTTGTCCTTCCGCCCTCGGCAAATACAGGGACAGGGAGCGGGACCAATGCCGAAAGCAAAGACAGCAGCCACCTGCCTGCCTAAGGTGCACACAGTTGAGAAAACAAAGTAAGGGGAGGAGGGTGAGAAGAGCCGGCTCCAGCGGAAACTTTCTCCAAGCTGAGATCTCTCTGGAAACCCAGGATGAGCTGGGCCAAAGCAAAGAGATGGGAGGGGGGCGTCACCTGGCCACGCCGCAGCTTGGGGAGCCGCAGGCGGACAATGCACGCATTCACGGAAGCACCTGTTGGTTCCGCTCCTGCCGTGGGGCAACCCCTGTGCTCCCTGCCAGCTACAGAGATCAGCAACAGCATCAGCCTCACCCTTCGCCTCTCGCGCACCCAGTCAGGCTCACTGACGCCAAGTAGAGTCCCTCGAGCAAGGGGCCAGGTGACAGCCCTGCTGGGAGAGTGACACCGCAGGGACGGGAGGAGGAGCTCTCCGTGAAAATGAGAACAGCACAGCGGAGGAGGCGCTGACTGCCTGAGGAGGGGGCTGGGGTTGCCGATGGGGACCTGAGGCGCTCAGCTCCCATGACGGCGACAAGTGCCCAGTCGCGGGGCAGGGGAAGCGACACAGCACCGCGAGGAAGAGTCGGGTAGAGGGGCAGGAGGGACCGAGGCTGCCCAGGTTACCCGGACAGGTGTGGCGGGCGTGCAGAAAACCAGCCATGGCCAGGGACCTCGCACCTCCAAGTCCCCAGGGCTTGTGTGAAAAACAGTTCCCTAGGCCCTCCCACCACTGAATCCCGGTCTGGGCCAGAGCCCCAGGAATTTTGAGCTGTTGACAAGCCCTCGGGTGGCTGCGGGTGGCTGCTTTGCAAGCTGGGCCTGAGAGCCACCAGTCCTGTTAGTCCAGATTGGCAGGAGTAGGGGGCAGAGGCTGAGTGGGGGAGGGGGCTCCTCTGCACTTTGGAAAGATTGGGCCTCTGCCGGAGGGCGGGTGCAGAGGGAAGGCTCACCCAGAGCGCTGGAGGTTCCGTTTCTGTGGCTTTCTGGAGGGGAGGGGAGGGAAGGACAAGTAGCAGATCTAGATGCCAGTGTGGTCCCATACACCTGGGATCCCAGCACTTGGGAGGCTGAGGCAGGAGGATTGCCACGAGTTTAAGGCCAACCTGGGCTACATAGTGAGGCCCTATCTCAAAAAAAAAAAAAAAAAATACAGAAAGAAGGAAAGAAAAGAAAAAAAAGCAGATCTGGGGCTGGGAGGGAAGGAGAGCTGGCCTGGCAGGAGGGCCACAGGGACTTGTGGGAGGGAGGTCACAGGGCTGCTGTGCCTTTGCCGAGGTTGTGGCTGCACAATGACTGGGTGTGGACTCAAAGAAAGGTCCACTCAAAGGATGCTTTTGCTTTTGTGTTTGTTTTGAGATAGGACCTCATTATGTAGTCCAGGCCAGCCTTCTACTCAGTATATAGCCCAGGCTGGCCTTGAACTCACAATCCACCTGCCTCAGCCTCCAGAGTACTGGGGTTACAGCCATGCACCATGAATTTTAACTGTGGATAAACTGCATCTGAATTTCTTAGCTAAAGGAATAAAAAAGAATAGATTTACAGGGCTGGGGATTTAGCTCAGTGGCTCCACACCTGCCTTCCAAGCTCAAGGTACTGAGCTTGATCCCCAGTACCAAAAAAAAAAAAAAAGATTTACAGATGCTTCTTGGCTTATCATGAGGTTAGATCTCAATAATTCACTGTCAGTTGAAACTTTGTTTAATACACCTAACCTGGCCAGGTGTAGTGCGCACACCTGTGCTCTCAGCCACTTGGGAGGCTGAGGGTCCAAAGTTCGAGGCCAGTCTGGGCAACTTAACAAGACCTGGTCTCAAGATTTAAAAAAGAAAAAGTCTGGGGATATAGCTTAGTGGTAGAATCCCCCAGGTTCTGTCCTCAGTACTGGAACAAAACAAAACAACTACCAGTTTCTACTGAGTCCTGATTGCATTCACAGCACTGTACGTTGAAAAATCATACGTCAAGCCATTATAAATCAGGAACCGTCTATGTAGAAAAATAGAACAGAATCGAGAGTTCAAATATAAATCCTTATATTTCTGGTCAGTACATTTTTGACAAAGGTCCCAAGACAATTCGATGGGGGAAACAATAGATTATCCTGTTTGTTGTTTTGTTTTGCAGAGGTAGGGATGGAATTTGTATACTCTAGGCAAGTGCTATACCCCTGAGCTCCATCCCCAGCCCTGTCTTAGACCATGTTTGAGATGGAGTCTTTCTAAGTTCCCAGATGACCTCTAACTTGGGTGCCCCTCGGGTGGCTGGGACATCGCTGCATGCCACCGTATCTATCAGAAAGTCTTTTCAATAAATGGTGCTGTGAGCCAGGCCTAGTGGCGCACGCCTGTAATCCCCGCACTCTGGGGGGCTGAGGCAGCGACACGGCAAGCTGGAGCCCAGCCTGGCCAATTACCAAGACCTTGTATCACACATAAAAAAGGGCTGGGGCTCTAACCCCATTGGGAAGACCCTGGCTTCGATCTCCAGAGAGAGAGACAGAAAGGCACAGGCAGAGAGATGGAGGCGGAGGCAGAAAGAGACAGGCCGGAGAAAGGACCTCTCATGCACACCGGACACCCCCCACAGCAGGCACAAAGCAGTATTCAAATGCCAGTCTTCACCACCCGGTAAGCAGATAAAGTGTGCTGATTTCTGCGATGGAATACTACTCGGCAACAAAAAGGTACTAAAAAAATAAAGTGGAATTACTGCTGATTGGATGATACTCCCCAGGAAGTCATTACAGGGAGGGAGGGAAGCAGGAAGAGGAAGGCCAGCTGTGGCAGGATTCCACTCACCGGACCTGTCTGGAAGAGGCAATTTGGGGGGTCGGGAAGCACCCCGGGGCTGGAGCTGGGCCCAGACCAGCTGCAACCAGGCCAGAGGGGCCTTATCAGGAGGTGGGAATGTCTCCTAACTGGATTGTGGTGCCACTTGCACAACTACAAGCCGCTGGATTGTTTAAAAAGAAAGAACAGCTTAAAGGCACACGGCAGTGGGCTATCACGGTAGTTTAATGGCACCCAGCAGAGACTTTCACAGCATCCTCTCCGAAGTTGCAAAACGAGACTTAACGATGCTAGCCCTCCAATAAGCGGCTGGGAGAAAGTGGGGTGTGCAGGGGGTGGGTGCAAGAGATGGGGCTGGAAGCCTGGGGAGCTGCGCCCCAAAGTCTGAAGGTCCCCAGTGCAAGGGAGGAGCAGTCAAAAAAGATTGGGAAAGGCACAGTTTAGCCCTTGGGAGTTCAAAGAACTTCAGTGCATAGCTATGGAGTAGTTTAAACTGTGGTGCCTGGCTGTGATTCCAACCATTCTGGGAGGCTGAGGCAGGAGGAGTTTTGCAGGTTCTGTGCCCACCTAGGCAACTTAGCAAGAATTTGTCTCTAAATTAAAAGATAAGTATGACTAGGGACTTAGATCAGTGATACAGTGCCCCTGGATTTAATCTCCAGCCCCAAAATAAGTAAATTATAAGGTATATTTTGTAAGAATAAAATTTCATTCTCATGCTAGGGAGATGGAAATGGCCCATCCCCAGGCTGCTCGCCCCATCACTTTTTCTTCCCCTCGTAGACTGGAAGGCACTTTGGGAGCTCATGAGCTCAGTCGAATCCCCGAGGCCCCCCGGAAAGGGAACGCGGGCTGACACCATCCGATCCCAGCACTAGCTGCGGCCTGCAGGGGGCGCGCAGGCGCAACGAGCGGCCGGCCCCGCCCCGTCACGTGCCCGCGCCGTGCGTCACACCCGGAAGTGGCGGCCGAGCGCAGAGGGGAGCGATGAGCGGGGGATCCGGGGAGCTGTCCGTGGCGCCCCCTCCCGGGGAGGTGGAACCGGGCAGCGGGGTCCGCATCGTGGTGGAGTACTGGTGAGCGGCTGCGGCGGGCGGGGAGGGACAGACGCGACTGCGCGGGACCCCTTCCCGGCACCCCAGCCCACCCGCGTCTCTTCCCTAGCGAGCCCTGCGGCTTCGAGGCCACCTACCTGGAGCTGGCGAGCGCCGTGAAGGAGCAGTACCCGGGCATCGAGGTCGAGTCGCGCCTCGGGGGCACAGGTGAGGCGCTGGCTGCTTTGGTCAGGTGCCCAGCAGCGTTTGGCGCATAGTAAAAATGTACCGCGAGTCCCCTTCCCTAGGTGAGGGGGTCACAGACCAGGCCCCCGGGGGTGAAAGCTGTTGGCAATAGCGGGACGTGGATCCTAGCCCTGAGGAGGCTGAGGTGGAAGGATCACCGAGCTGGAGGCCAGCCTGAACTACATAGACAGACCGTCTCTAATAGAAAAGCTGTTGGCCCTCGTGCAGGTTTGAGGGGAGGGAGCCCTCCACTGGGAGTAGGAAGACACCATGGCAGGCACTCTGGAGTTGACCTGCAGAGACCTCTGGCTCTGGAGTCTAGTGGGGCTCACAGGGGCCCCCTTCCCCGGACTTGTGCCTGGGCTCTGCAGTGCCATCCACTCACCTATTTATTTCCTGCCAGGGGCCTTTGAGATCGAGATCAACGGACAGCTGGTGTTCTCCAAGCTGGAGAACGGGGGTTTCCCTTATGAGAAAGATGTGAGTGTTCAAAACTCAGGGCGGGTGGGGGGACCTTGACCCCAACAGTGTGTCATCCTGTCCTGCGCCTCTGCCCTCCTCCTAGCTCATCGAGGCCATCCGCAGAGCCAGTAATGGAGAACCCCTAGAAAAGATCACCAACAGCCGCCCTCCCTGTGTGATCCTGTGACTGCTCAAAGTTCCAGGGTCCACGCCGCGGGCTCCCCCAGCCCTGCTGGACGCTCCTCCACCTCTCCCTTCACTCAGCCCCTGGTAGCTAAGGGACCCTGGCCTCGACTTCGCCCTTCAGACACTGAAGGGAAAAGGAGCTTTGGTGGTCACTGGAGTAGGAATGACGCTCTCCGTTGACTTTCCACAACCACCCCGTCCCTACACGCTTCCCCAGGCGCAGTGTCCACGAAAGCACTTGAAAGCACTTGCCAGAGGCCGCAGCGGATCTAATTCACTTCCCCTAAACCCTGGGCCGTGTTAGCTGTGGGCAATAAAGAGGCACCCAGACACTCTGAAGAGGGGTGTGTTTCTGCAGCTTGGGGAGAGCCTGGCCTCCACACCCCCTGGCCGGTGGACAGCTCCTGCCTCTCACTTCCCCCTGCCGCAGCGGGAGGAAGTGACCCCACTCTGGGGTGGCCTTTGGAGTGAGTCCGACCAAGCAAGAGTGATTAGCAGGCTGCAGGCTCTAAGATCAGAGCCCTCCGTTCCCAGTCCCTGCATCCCAAAGCCAGGAATGGCAGGCTGGGCTTCTGGCTCAGGCTCTGGAAGGTCCCAGCCACCCGCTCTGATGGAGCTATGGGCAAGGTGGGCAGAAGGGCCTGGCACTGAGCTACCCCACACGGAGGCCAGGCCCAGCTGCTTTTCACGACCTGCCAATGGAGAAAGTCGGGGTGGAGAGGGGTACCCCACTCAGCCCCTGGGCACCCCCATTCACAGTATACCCATTCTTCCTCAGTCCTTATTTCATCTTTTTAAAAAGCAAGTAAAAACAAAACAAAAAGCACTCTGTGCAGGGATGGATCTGGGCGTGGGGGTGGTGCCGTTCCTCCTAGGGTGGTGCCGGTCCCAGGGACAGGCTCCCGTCGGCCACCCTTGCTCTCAGCCACTCCCGTGGGGCCCTCCATTCCTCTGCTCAGCTTCTCAGTTCAGTACCAAGGGTCTGAAGAGGGCTGGGCAGGGCTGCAGGTCCGGTGGGTGGGGCTCCAAACCCAGAGATGCCCAGAGCCTCCCTCCCGCAGCCAGGTCGGAGCTCTGCTCATCTGCCTGGGAGGATAAGCAGAAGCGAGGTCCCTAGTGTGCTTCTCGGCTCACACAGGCATGTCCAGGCCCAGGTACTCCGGGTTCTCTGCTGTAGGGGTCCCTTCAAAGGTGCTCGGTGGAGACCCCCGCTCTGGTTGGTCCTGGTCCCAATAATACAGGTTGTCAAAGGCCGGGCTGAAGGCGGGCGGAGAATGGGACTGGGCGCCTCCTCGAGGTGCCAAGTACTCCGGGTTCTCCACAGCACCCCCAAAGGCAAAAACATCCTTGACAACCCCATTCTTCCCAGGGGAGAGAGTCTTGGGCCTTTCCAGAGTGGCACCAGCAGGTCGGACAGGGGGCAGAGGACCCTCTAGGGGCGAGGGGGGCTGTGGCCGGAGCTCTGGCTGGTTGACATATTCTGAAAGGGCAAAGAGGACTGTGAGGGAGAGGAAGCAGGGTGTCCCCAGCCTCAGTGGGGGTCCCCTCCACCCTGTCTGACTCCATACCAGGTTGGGGACTGCAGGTCAGTGGGGTGACGTAGCTGTCAGTCTCCCGGGCCGGGGGGACCGTGGGGTCCTCGCTGTACCGCTGCAGGGGGCTGGGGTCATTTGGAGGGAGGCTCTGGAGCCCCTTGGCCACCCCCATTCCTGGGTCACCCTCGAACACGTCGGTGCTGGCCCCTTCTGAGGCAGCCAGTGGGGACCGGGGGGGCTTCTCTTCGGGGGTCTCCAGCCCCAGCGTCAGCTCCCCACCACCACTCTGGGGTCAGGAAAGAAAGGTGTAATAGAGTCACAATAATGGGGCCACTTGTGGATGGGAGGGGCTCCTCGGGAGAGAGGCAGAGTCGCCTTCAGGGGTGATTTAGGGTCATGGCAGAGAGGATTGTGTCACAAGGTCTCCAGGAAGAGTGAATTTAGGGGACTTCAGGGAGAGGGACCCTAGTGCATGGGGCACAGGCACCAACCCGGGTGGAGGAGCTGCGGTGCCTGCGGTGGGCTGTGCCCGCAGTGCCCAGGGCAGGGTCCGGGCAGAAGAAGCCCTGCTGGGGTACTAGGTACTCCTCGGCATCCACCAGGTCCCCCATGTCGTCGTCCTCCAGCAGTGAGCGGTAGAAGGTACTGTCCAGGGGGCTGGCAGAGCCCAGGTCCTCATTCTAGGGAGGCAGGAGACTGAGGTGGCAGCCCGGCCAAGGGCAGGCAGGGGGCACTCGGGTACCACCTCTGCCACCCTCTGCGGGAAGGGTGGGAAGGCCTGGTACCTGAATGACCACAAAACGCTGGGGGTCTCTGGCCATGCGGGAGAATTCGGACACCAGCTCCCGGAATCGCGGCCGACACTCCGAGTCGATCATCCAACCTGGGGAGGGAGGGAGCTCAGCCTGCGCGGCCACAGGCCGGGAGCTGCTCTGCCCTCGCACCCTCTGGGTGAAACGGCCCACGCCCACACGCACATTTCACCATGATCATGTAGACGTCGATGGTGCAGATCGGGGGCTGGGGCAGCCGCTCCCCCTTCTCCAGCAGGTCGGGGATCTCACGGGCTGGAATCCCATCATAGGGTTTGGCCCCAAAAGTCATCAGCTCCCACACCGTCACCCCTAGGAAGGAGACAGGCGTCAGGATGGGGGTCCAGGGGCTGCTCTGGTGCAGGAGAGCCTGGCACCGCGGTGGGGGAGAGGGACAGGACCCGCCCAGTCTTCCCCACTCCCCGCCCACGCACCGTAGCTCCACACGTCGCTCTGGTGGGTGAACCGGCGGCGCAGGATGGACTCCAGGGCCATCCACTTGATGGGCACCTGGGGAGCAAAAGGGGAGCCTTCCGACTGGGTGTGGGGAGTGGCGCCCCCCGAGGCCTCACGGGGCCGCACCCCAGGCCCTCCCTGCCCGTGCCCCTCTGCCCCCGACCTTGCCCCCGTCCGCGTGATACTCCGTCTCGTCGATGTCCAGCAGCCGCGCCAGCCCAAAGTCTGTGATCTTCACGTGGTTGGGGCTCTTGACCAGCACGTTGCGGGCAGCCAGGTCCCTGTGCACCAGGCGCACTTCCTCCAGGTAGCTCATGCCCTGGGTGGGAGGCACGGTGTGGACCCCGGGCTCTCGCTCGGCTCACGTCCACCCTGCCCGACAGCGGCACCTACCTTGGCTATCTGCACGCACCAGTTGAGCAGGTCCTGGGAGCCCAGGCGCCCGCGGTGCTCGCGAACGTGGTCCAGGAGGCAGCCGTAGGGCATGAGCTGCGTCACCAGCTGCACCGTTGAAGTCAGGCAGATGCCCAGGAGGCGGGACACGTACGGGGAGCCCACGCCAGCCATCACGTAGGCTTCCTGGGGGCGGGGCGTGTGAGGGGCGGGGCCACGGGACACCCCGCCTCCCGCCATGGCAAGTGGCCAAGACCCAGCCAGGGGTCTCAGGTGCCCCGGCAAGGGTGGAGGGGCTTACGTCCAAGATTTCCTTGTTGGCCTTGGGGGACGTGTTTTCCCGCAACACTTTGATAGCCACGGGGATTTTCACATTCTCCCCATCGGGGATCCAGATGCCCTGAGGAGGAGGAGGGCTGTGAGCGGGGTCTTCCCATGGCCCCGGCTCCGTTCCACCAGCCCAGACCCTGCCTGGCCTCTGACCTTGTAGACGGTGCCGAAAGCTCCGGAACCAAGCACCTTCACCTTCCTCAGCTCGGTCTCCTTCAGGATCCGCATCTGTGCCTGGTTGGGCATGGCCCCGCTGGGCGTCAGCGGCTCCACCAGCTGCGGGAGGGCGTGGGTCAGCACCCGGCAGGCTGCGGACCGGGCGTCCGGGGATGTGGGGCCGCCTCACCTCGGGCTCCTGCAGCAGCCGCCGCATGGTGTACTTCCGGATCTTCTGCCGCCTCCGCTTGAGGGCAATGCCGATGACCACACACATGACCATGAACAGCAGGACGCCCACCACGGCCGCGATGATGGATGTCACATGGCTGGGGGCAGGAGCCAGGAGCCGGGGTAAGGGGTGGGGGCCGGACAGGGCAGGGGTTCCGAGGGAGCCCATGGAAGGACTGAAGGTCCCTGGCATTTGGAAAGGGGAGTGGGAGGGGCGACGCAGTGGCTCGGACTCTTTCTTCCACTCTTAACACCTGCCATGACTCCCTACTGCCTCTTGGGTGAAGTCCAGACAGCCCCATCTCCAGGTCCTCGGGCCCCGGCCCCAGCTCAGGCTTCCACGGAGCTTACTGTATGTAAAATCTGGTGAGGCCAGGGCTGGGCACCAGGTCAAGACCTCCCTTGGGTTCGGCCTCACAAATGCGCACTCACCTAGGGGATCTCCTTTCCCGACTTGGCTCCTTGCGGGCAGAGGGAGCTCCTGGGCGCTCACCAGACAGTCTGGTCACCTGTTCCCCCACCCCTTGCCCAGCCCAGGCCTGGCACACAGCAACCCTCCGCTGGCTGCTGGTTCCACCGACAGAGGACGGCTAGGACAGACTCCAGCCTGTCCTCCCCTGTCCAAACTCCCCCGTGTCCAGACAGCCGCGTCCTGTGGTCGAGAGTCCCGGTGGTCAAGACCTGTCCCCTAAACCCAGTCCTGCCCAGACTCCAGCTTCCCTGCTTCCTCTGGCTCGCCATCCTGGTAAGAAATCACCGACCCAGCCCAACGTGGGGGTGCACACCTATCATCCCAGCACTCTGGGAGGCTGAGGCAGGAGCACTGCAAATTGGAGCCAAACCTGGGCAATTTAGGGACTTACTGAGACTGTCTCAAAATACAAAAGGTGGGGAGGCTGGGGTGTAGCTCAGTATGAAGGTTCAGCTCCCAGCATAACAGAAAAAGAATCCCCCATCCTTCAAGACTACAGCTACACTCGCTTCATCGAGCTGGAGTTTCAGGGAGCTGAACTTGGCCTGTGTCTATAGGAACCACCAAGGTCCTTCCGGTGAGGATCGGGGGTCCCATCCTTTCCCTGTCCCTCCTGTCCCCAGACACCTGGGGAGATCGGTGGAAAACAGCCTGGGAAGGGGCCCGTGTCACGTCTGCAGTGACCACACGAGAGGGGGTGGGGCAAGGGGCACCACAGTTCCTCCCAGGTACCAAGCCCACCTGGCTCTCTGCTCGGCGGGGCAGCCCCTGTCATCCAGGTCCACACAGCTACAGGAGAGAAAGCAGCATCAGCAACTAGGGCCACACACACACACACACACACACACACACACCCTCCCTGTGGATGTGGCCGGGATTATCTTCATTGTCCAAAGGCAGAGCAGGGCTGAGGTCACAGTGGCTGCACACCCACAAGGCTAGGGCCCTGATGGCCAGGTGGGGACAGCAGCTGTTGCCCTCATAAGAGTCCTGGGTAAAACAGCGCCACTTCCCCTGTGAATAGTCTGGTGACACCTGTTAAACAGTGCGGGCTAGGGTGCACTCAGGGGTGGAGGGTGCTCTGCATGTGAGGCCCTGGGTTCGATCCCCAGCACCAACCCATTGGTCAGTAAAACATCCAAGGCCTCATAGTTCACCTCTTGGTGTATGCCCTGGTCACCAACATCAGTACCCTAGGAGCACACACAGGATGTGCTTGTTTAGGGAGCAGAACTGCAATAAACCGGGGAAAAAAATAGCAGCCGGGCTTGGTGATGTACACCCTAACCCCAGCACTTTGGGAGGCTGAGGCAGGGAGGCGGCAAACCAGCGCCCAACCCAAGCAACTGAGCCAGACCCTGTCTCAAAATAAAAATTA